CGTGTACAGTTCCAGGGGTTGTAACCCAGTTAATATTACTTTAAGGTTCCAATAAGCCATTTAAGCACCAGAGGTGATGTTGTTTTGCATTATTTTTGTTTTGTATTATTAAATTGTTTTGTATTATTTTAAGTCTCAGTAGATGCAAAGAATAACTTTTACTTGGATTTTTACATTTTATCTTGTGAGTATTAATGAAAGGCAATAACTCGCTTCAATATGTAGAGATAATTTTTAAGGGTAAGCAGTTAGTTACAAGTAATAAAATTAGGTAGTTTTAATAACCTTAGTCATTATGGATTTACATGACCACTATTAAATTTTATTTTTTAACAATATTTACAGCTAACAGCCCCATTAACATTCCAGCGTGCGCACTTGGCAATTTTACATGAGCATGAGCACGTCGTATTTTTTACGACATCTGTTATTTTAGTTTTTGGCATGAAAAGTGACAAAAATGAGTAAATATTGATAGTAAATTTGTTAAAAAATAAAATATTAACCTTATTATTGCAAAATAGAAATGATGTCACATTCAAATGAGAGTAAATTATTTTTTAACGCTTATACTGGTGGAAAAGCAGTGATGCATTTTATTACAGAAATTTAAAAATTTATTATTTAATAACTATATTTTAAAATCCAAGCTAGTTTTAATATTCATATGTTCTGTCAATTTATTATCGAATCGAAGACAAATTGTTACAAATAAAAATCTCTTGTAGCTCATCACAGCTCTTGTTATTTCAATACTAGTACCATCACTTGATAACAGTTCGGCTGATCTTCGGAATATGGTAACTGGTAGTTTGGCGACATTTTGGAGGCGATAAAAGGTTACTACCTAGGACTTTGGTAAATAATGTGAGAAGTTCTCAGTTCCGATTACGCATTATTTTGCGTGAGGGAAACGAGAGATCATGAGATATGTCATGTGACATTAATGGAGGAATTACAGTTCTTTAATTGGAAAAGGGGGGATTTGGAAAACTGTAGTACTGTATTATTTTGTATTAAGCTTCATTGTGTGTGAAATAGTGGAAGTGTGCGTGCCACGTAATGAAGATTCTGAAGATTAGATAAGTTAGTATTTTTAATCATTTGAGGATATTATTTTTATGCATTGTTCTAAATGTAAGGAGTAAATAAATTATGATATTTTTGGAAAATTGTTATTAGCAATGATTTAGTTTAAAGTAATTAGGAGTGTAATCTAATTTTATTAATTTAATGTATGACCTTATTTAAAGTAGTGTTTTTTAATTTAATGATCGTGATTTTGTGAGTTATACGTTTGTAGTATTTTGGAATACGTTTGAGTAGAATACGTTGAGTATTTTCATGCATTTTCGTGAAATTTTTCTAATTTATGAGAAAAAAGCAGTGTACATGGATATAGTGAAGAGTGTGCGCAATGCCATTTTCGTGCAATTCTGGGATGTTTTTTTTAAGTAAAAATAAGTCGACGTGTACATGGTTTAGTGATATTTTAATTAAATGATAAGTTATTTTGTGAATTTTTTGTTTGTAGGAATTTGGTATACGTTTCAGTTGAAGTAAACGTGTATGGAAATAATTTAAATATTTGTAACCATTTGTAATGTTTGCAGTATGAATTTGTTGGTGACGTTTATAATATAATAGATAATTTAGAGGTAAATGTTTTTGGATATTTTATTTATTTTATACATGGAAATGTTCATCCTTGGAAAGGGTATATACTTTTTCGCGACCAGGTAATTTCATATATGTGCTTTTTACCGAGTTTAAAGATTCACAGAATTTTTTTGCATTTTCGTGCAAATTTTTGTAATTTATGAGAAAATAGCAGTGTAGATAGATAAAGTTAAGAGTGTGTGAAATGCCATTTTTGTGCAATCCTGGGATTTTTTTTTAAGTAAAAATAAGTCGACATGTAAACGGTTTATGTGTATGTGCTATTCTGAAAAACGCGCAAGCACTTTTTTTTGCACTTTTATTTTAGTTTATTTTGTCATAATTGCAGTTTTGTTACAATAAAATTTCTAGCTAAGTTAAGTGTATATTAATTGGCTAGTAGATTGTTGGAAAAAGTGTTCAGTAAATAAAAATAAAAGAAACATGTCTTTACTTCGTGAAGACAAAGTGGCGGCGAAAAAAAAATAGAGGGTTGCTGTAACAGAGTTGGTCGCCAAATTTTCGCCAAGTTACCATAATCCAAAGATCAACCAACAATTCTTTTGCATTTGCATGGTGTCCTTTATTTATTCCTATGATATATAACAATTCAAAGTAGGCCATCATTTCCACTCAGGTAACAGTGCAGTCTATCTCTTGGGTATTTTGCCTTTTAGTAAATTTATATATTTATTTGTACATTCCAAAATTTCATCAAGCATATTTATATCAACTATTTTCAAAAATGTTCCTATTTTATCCTTTATATCCTTAGTATGGTGTTTTAGGGCAAGTAACGCTCACAATATTCATCTTATTCATCTATGAGCAGTTTGCGTACTTCTGATTTTGTCCCTTAGAAGATTTATCCTTACTAGCATAGAATATATCATCTTTCCATTTTCCTATATCATTATTACTATCTTCATCTGATATATATTCTTCAGATTTACTGCTGATATTACTTACCTCTATATTTTCCTCACTCAGATCGCTATTATTCTCGCATCTAAAGGATTCCTTGTCTTCTTTTTTTTTAATCAGATAATTCTTGACGAATGTGAACAAAATCAGTTGGTTACACATATTTTTTTGTCATGAAAACCGATGTAAAAATTAGTGTCAAATTTATACAAATTAAAATAATACACGTCAACTAATAACACAAAACTACAAAACATTTGAGAAAAAAATACTTTCTGAATTTTCACCCACAACCACACGAGTGTCTTAACTTTTACAAAGCTGCCACATAGCACAAAAGCCCAGTGAAAAAACAAAAACAAAAAAAAATAAATAAATAAATAAAAAAATAAAAAAAAAATAAAGGGCCTATCAATACCTGTTGGCACATTCCATGATGTGGAGAAGGATTGAAAGAAGGTATAGAAATGACATTCAGACGTGTCAGCTAGGATATGCGAAAAGTGTGCATTAAAAACTTAATTTGTCGTAAACTTTGTGCATAGCACGCGCTGAAAGGTTAAAATCAAAATCTAATAAAATTTCAGTGTTTAAAATACATGTAATTTATGACACAGATTCTTAAACGATATTATGATAATTACATATTGAAAGCTACAAACATTTATGTTTTGTAATATCAACACTCAACAAAATATTTATTCGTCATTTTAATTTGAAGCCTTCCCAGACATTTTGGCTAGTTTATATCCATTTACTTCTCTATGAGCATCTTTTCTAACAATTAGACATTTGTTTCAATATGCAAACCAATGCTCTCGCTAGTTTCTGCATTGTGGAGAAGTTGACAAGTTAGTTTATCTCCTAACTTGTCAACCTCTCCAAAATGTACCCATGAGGGTTTACTTAATCTGTTAAATAGTCCAAACCCTCCCCAACAGATGTGAAGCACATTATTGCTATGTCTGAAATTAACTACAATATCAGACAAAGGTTTAAATAAGCACCTTTTTTAAAAAGAACTTAGAACATAAAGGCATGTTCTGTTGCTAACAAAATCAATTACAGCTCACGGTGAAGTAATAAACATATTAAAGATAAACATATTATGATTCTAGTATCAGAAGTTAAACATAAACTTTCCAAGCTGCAATGTCTAAAATCCTAAAGAAAAATTATCCCTACCATTTCTGTAACAGCAAAAAGCCAGAAATATTTGGGGGGGGGAAAGGGGGGGGAGAGAAAAAGTATAAAATTAATTTTATAGAGAAAACTGATGCACATTCTGAGACAATTACCATGGGAAAACTCTTACTATGAAAAAATTAAAAACAAGACATTTTTAATTAATTATAGCTAATTTTGCTTTTTGCTAAGAGCTGTTTCGTAAATTGTGCTTATACCTTGTTTATTTTTCAGATTCAAAATATTTTTTGCTCATGAAAGTTGCCAAACTGAAACTTTATAATATGACAGAGAAAAATAAAAATGTTTTACTTTAATATCATTTTTTAAATATAATTTCAATATATTACCATTATTTTACTGAAATGTATCAATGTTATGACGTTTTAAAAAAAATCGTCGAAAAATTCTCAGATCTCAGAATTAAAAAGTTTCTATATAAACTAATCTTAAAATGTTGAAAAGCGCCAAATTAAGAACCGTTTAATAAAAGAATTCACATCCCCAAAAGCGAAAGTTGTTTAAGAGCTCTTTATTAGAAAAATTGACTTTCGAAATGCTTATGTTTCACTTCTTGCTTAGAAACTCAAGTATCCCATCATTTATATTAGAAACAAATTATAACTCATGAACCCATTCAAAAGATAACCCTACATACGGCAGTGAATCGCCAAAAATATTCCTCCAAAATGCTAATTCACACTGAAAATGGCAGTCGTAAAAACAGACAGAAATTTCAGATGATTAAAATTAAGGATCTTCTGTTGATTTTGGCCAAAATTAAGGACTTTTAAGGACCAAATATTGATTCCAAAAAATCTAAGGACTCTAAAGGACCATAGGAACCCTGATATTAACTTTTCATCAAACCGCAGCTCATAAATAAGTCATGAATAAAAGCAACTCAAACGCTCATCATTTCAAATAAAATAGATATATGAAGATACAATACACAATATACATTCATTTCTACCTGCAAATTATCACAAATACATTTCCATATATTACTCAAAATCACCTTGCCACAATTAGTTTGGACGAACAGTGTTCTATAGCATGTTTTCATATTTTTATTTCTATACATAACAGCTTAAACTGAAATATAGGAAATTTTGTTTACAATATTTTGAAAACTAAATTCTCTTAGATCCCAATTTACAGCACTTTGAAAGAGTGCTGTTAAATTAATAACTCTCGATTCATAATGCATATATAAAATATAGGCAATATTATAACATTTACATATGTAATTAAACATATGACTTAAAACATCACTTTATTTCCCATAAAATAAAAATACATAATTTTGAACTAAACACAAACATAAGGAATAATTCACAATAATAAGCAATAAAATTAAACATTCTGCTTGCATCTCTGAACTGTTTGCAGGCTTCCGATGACATTTACAAATACACAAAACAAGAACCGGTGGTTTATTAGCATTACTGAAATCCATAAACACTTTCATCACTATATGCTATGTACAAAAAGGAATCTTCTTCATGGTGCTCCTGGAAAGGTGGAAAAAAAATCAATGTAAAGATTAAAATTATATTTCAAGAATTCCAACTGCATTTAAAATACAAGTTTTTTAACAAAGCAATGTCAAAAATATTCAAACATACTTCTATACGGCACAGCCAAATTTATTATAACCTCACCAGTGCAAGACCAATGAATACTGGTAATTCATCTTGGGTTCAAACCCAGAGAAAAGAGGTTGCTTGCATGGCTGTTTTTTATATTTTCCCTCGTGAAATATGAATTCTAGGCAGTTTCCCTGAGAAAGTTATCCACAAAAGCATGCCTAAGATTAGAATAGGCCTTGACATGCTTTCCTATATCCAACTAACCTCACTATATTACTGCTGCACTTTTTTGAATGTATGAAATCTTACATTTGTAAAAGATTACTTTTCTAAAATTATGAACTGTTTCTACTGTGGTTATAATAAATAGACTGAAAGATGATTTATACTGTATACTAATGGTTTAAATCTACATCAATTAATGCAGTGCTGTAAGTGTATTTCCTCTTCATTTTGAATTTCTCAAGATATTTTTTCCTGTTATTTTATTGTTAGTACTTTAAGCATGTACTATGCAAAACTTATATACAAATATTAATTAATCTACTAGCGGGCAAGCCCGCCAGCTGAGCGGGCTGAAGCCCGCTATTTATTGTTCGTGTGTATAAGAGTTTCTAATGTAATTTAGCGGGTATTGGAAATTTGAAACGAACTACCAGTGTCCAGCAGTTTCGCGCTGTCTGCACCTGCTTTATTAAAGTTTGCATCCAGAATATACTGCATACACGATACACATGCGTAAAATCACGAAAACACCTATGCAGCCAGCCCGCAAATTTTCGGGATTCGAAAGCTGGAACGAACTAACAGTGTCCAGCGGTTACCACTCATGCAGCCAGCCTGCTCACCGGAACTCGTAAGTTGGACTGAACTACCAGTGTTTAGCTTTCTTGGGCGGGCTGCGCCCACTTTATTCACTTATGCATACAGAAGACATTGCATACACGATACACATGCGTAAAATCACAAAAACACCCGTGTAGCCTGCCTGCTCGCGGGATTCGAAAGTTGGACCGAACTACCAGTGTTCATCGATTTTGGGCGGAAAGCGCCCGCTTTATGCACATATGTATCCAGAAGACACTGCATACATGCGAAAAATCATGAAAACACCCACGCAACAGACTGCTCGCCGGGACTCGTAAGCTGAAGCGAACTACCAGTGTTCAGCTTTCTTGCGCGGGCTGCGCCCGCTTTATTCATTTATGTATCTAGAAGACACTGCATACACGATACTAATGTGTAAAATCACAAAAACACACGTGCAACCTGCCTGCTCGCTGGGATTCAAAAGTTGGACCGAACTACCAGTGTTCAGCGGTTTTTAGCGGGCTGCGCCCTCTTTATTCATGTAGGCATCCAAAAGATACTGAATATACTATATACATGCGGAAAATGACGAAAGCACCCATGCAGCAGCCTGTTCGCCGGGATTCGAAAGTTGGACCGAACTACCAGTGTTCAGGGACTTTGACGCCCACTTTATTCACTTATGCATACAGAAGACGTTGCATACACATTACACATGCGTAGCCCGCCTGCTCGCTGGGATTCAAAAGTTGGACCGAACTACCAGTGTTCATCGGTTTTGCACGGGCTGGGCCCGCTTAATGCACATATGTATTAAGAAGACACTGCTTCCACGATACACATATTGAAAATCATAAAAAACACCCACACAACCCAGCCTGCTCGCCGGGATTCATAAGTTGGAGCGAACTACCAGTGTTCTGCTTTCTTGCGCGAGCTGCGCCTGCTTTATACCTTTATGTATCTAGAAGACACTGCATACACGATAGAGATGTGTAAAATCACAAAAACACCTGTGTAACCTGCCTGCTCGACGGGATTCGAAAGTTGGACCAAACTACCAGTGTTCAGCGGTTTTTAGCGGGCTGCGCCCTCTTTATTCATGTATGCATCCAGAAGATACTGAATATACTATATACATGTGGAAAATCACGAAAGCACACATGCAGCCAGCCCATTCGCTGGGATTCGAAAGTTGGACCGAACTACCAGAGTTCAGTGACTTTACGGTGCCGCTAATGGGCCGTTGTAGAAAGAGAAATCGCGAAAATTTTCGGGTTTTGTTATTCAAACAATAGATTCGTTATTAAAATTCCTTTATTTTTTATAAACTTCAACATAATCACACACAAAATTGTATCAATATATATACATTAATGCGATTAATACTTCATAATTATTTATAATAAAAAAAGTTCTCATATACCGTCTCCAAGGATCACATGTTCAATTTAAAAGCCAAAACGAAAAAAAAATGTTTAAATTTACAGAATCCGCACAAAGTTTCAACAAAGTTGTTTCACAAGAATATAGTTAAGTTAAATTAAATTTAAATAATTCTTTTGCGTCGTTGCTGCAAGGAAAAGCTCATATTCAATTAAAATTTAATTAAGATATTTGAATCGTAAAAAAAAATTTAATAATTATTATTGTTGCGAACTAATTTACGATTATCATTTAAATTCAAAAAGCATATGTAAATTAAGTAGACGTATCCAAAACCATAAAAAATATATTATTCAAAAAGATTTAAATTTATTATTCCAAAAAAATTACATATTTTAAAAAAATAGCGCTTTCAGATTTTTTAATTTATATCTCAGCTGATTAAAATTGTACAACTTCAAGAACGCCATCATTTAAATTTAATGTAATATAACAACTTTTACTCAATAGTAATAAAAGAATTAACGTGGCAATAACATATCGTGGCAATTATAAAAACCTGAAATTAAAAATATGTTAGTTTAAAATGCTGACATTAACGAAATATTTTCAATACACAGTGAGGTAACATGCAATCGCGTGTTTTATTCAAACTTCAGAATATAACCTTGATTTTTATCTCTAGGGGTTCAAGAAACTGTAGCCACTCAAAAAGATGAGCGCGAAAATTAGCGTTTTCAGTTTTTAATTAATATCTCAGCTGATTAAAGGCGCACGAAGATGAGAATGGTATCAATGGATTCCGAGAATTTTTTGCAATCCGGCGATACCTGTCTCGAATTCCAACTTTACCCGGTTCCATAGATATTTGGAAAAAAAAGAAATTGACATGTGACCTTTCGCCAGCACAAATCTCGAAAGTGGAAGCAATTGTCTCCCCCCCGGCGCTTTCGAAAAAGCAATTTTATCTCAGCCTAATTTCGAGACTGTTGCCAATTCGAAAAATGAAATAACGTTATCTCGCAGTTTTTAATTAATAACTCCGCCAATTATTGTCGTACAAAGATGGGACCGGTATCGATGGATTCGTTTATTTTTGGGAATCTGGGGGATGTGTTCGAATTCCAACTCGGCGCCGTTCCCGGAGATATTCGAGAAAACGAATTTGGCACGTAGCCAAATCCCTAAAATAGGGAAACTCGAGTAAGAAAGTGAAAAACGTAGGGAAAGTAGGGAGAAAATTAGTTTTTAATATCTCGGCTAATTATAATCGCACGAAGATGCCAATGGTCAAAATGGCTTCCCACGGACATTCCGAATCCAACGGTACCTTCCGCTAAGCTCTGCACCCAGCCGTTCTGGAGACTAGGAAAAATTCCATTTGTCAATAAATTAGATATTTCAGGCAGGCTATTTCATAAAACATATGCAAATATATGTAATAATCTGGAATGTGGAAGACAGGTGTTAATGTTATGTCAGATTTAATTATTTTTTATTTCTTGCTGACAAACATTTCAAAAATAAGTTTATGTAATAAATAAGCAACCTATCTAGAGCTTTTTACATTTTTGACATCGATATATGATGAACAAAAGCAATGAAAATGCACCTAACTAGCAAGAAATGCACAGAGTAATATTATGTGTTCAAGATAAAAACTTACTTCACAGTGAGTTAATTTTGATGAATGTTGGTTAGCTAATTTATAACTCTTTAAAACTGTAGTTGGCTGAAGGCTTGTATAACAGCTGCATCAACTTATATAACAGCAGCATTATGTAAAAATCATATGGCATGCACTAATTTTGAAATGATGCACTTCAGAACAATTTATTATAAGCAGATATTATTTTTAGGGTAGAAACAAAAATATACAAATTAAAATGGAAAGCTTAGGAACTACTGCAAATTAAATTAGAATTTTAGGTTCTTTTTTGATAATCTGGACCCCCTGAAAAGTGTTCTCAAGGTAAATGGGAGGGGGAAAAGTACATACAGATTTCTTGAAAAAGGTAAGTATTTTTGTCAGTTTCTTTTTTAATTTTATTGATTCACTGCTCTTTTATGAAATTCTTAGTGTGCCATTCATTTTCAGAGTGGCTGCTGCCTTTTGTATATTAGCTTGCCAAAAAATTAAGTAGTAAATAATTTTTTTTTAATTTCAGAAATCTTTTTTCTGAAACTTCTTTTCAGAATGCTACTCAGAAAATAATAATAATAATAAATAAAATAATAATTATTTTTCCCCCTGAAGAGCATGCAAACAAGCAGAAAGTACCAATCAAGTTTCAATTTTAGTGTTTTACATTTTCTTTCCCCTCCTGTTAGGTAGTTTGCTACCGTACAAGGATTTTTAATTCTGTGTTATTTACCTCTTAATTGTATATATGAGGGTGTTTCCAATGTTCTAGCAATTGAACTCTAGTTTAATTCCTAGAACTAGAGGTCAATTGCTCTATCAGCCAAAGCAAAGTCTTATGTAGCTATCCCATGCATTATTGTTTAGTATGATTAAGCTGTTTGATAGATACAGACACACTTTTTTTTAATAACATTCTGCAATCATGGAAGATGCAAAGAGAAATCATTTTCTTTTTGTGGGAAAAGAATGAGGAATATGTCTGCAAGGAATATTCTGTTCCCACATTTGAAAAAAATCCTTTATGAAGTGTTCGATTTCAGAATTTAATCATGCCATAAAAAAAGAGCGAGATAAAAGAGACACTGAAAAAGTTCTATAAGGACAGCTTAAAAGAAAATTTAATAGGGATTATGTCGAAAAACTACACTGATGAAGTAAAAAGTGCATACCTAAATTTTCATGGGTGTAATATGCATCCTACATTTTTGGAAGCTTAGCATAAGATAACTTATAATAGAAAAAAGTGAGCATTTATGTGTTAGATGGAAGCAAGCTAGCAGGAAAGGTGCTATGCATTCAGAAGAAATCCAGAGACAATGTCAAAAGGTTTTGGTTTCAGCTGGCATCTTATTCGCCGACTGGCTAAAATGTAACTGAATTGCAGCATTATACAAGATCGTACAATACAGATTAATTTGAAATGACAAATTTAGATTGGTATAAAAATTTCTCACTTTTAGGACAGAAAGAGAAAATACCTAAATTAAGAATAAGAGGCTATTTCCAACTAAAATCAGAAGTCTCCTTTACATATTTTTAGTTTGCACACACATGCATGCAGTGACCATGCAGGTTGTAGAAGTTGAATCTATAGGACATTTTGATTTAGAAAAACATTTTAATGGACCAAAATACACATACGGCACACAATATATATATTTCATTTATAAAATTTAAAACTAGATGCAAAACATCAGTCTCTCTCTCTCTCTCTATATATAGCGTCCATACTCTCTTCAACATGATCAGTATTCATATATTTTTTTATAAGATTTGGCTTTTTCTATAAACTAGATAACTGCTTCATGCAAGAAAAATAGGAAACTTCACCAACTTCTTAATCATAGTTCTTCACTTTGCCATCATGAGCATTTATACTCTCTTCAACATGATCAGTATTGATACAATTTTTTATAGTCATTCTCATTCATATAATTTCCATTTCACCATCATTATCATTCCTTAAACTCCATTTTATCATCATTACCATTCATATCTCCACCTCATCGACATTATCATTCATATAATCTCCACCTCATCATCACATTCATTAAGACATTCTCCACCAGGTACTCTTCTGTTATCAGCACTGCATTCAGAAATGTATTTGTATGTGCGTATATACATACATAGATATGCACATGTATACATGCATATATACATACATTTCTGAATCTGGTCCTGATAACAGAAGAGTACCCTGCATCTCATCATTATCATCATCATTCATATAACCTTTAGCTTAATAGTCATTGTCATTAGTATCTATGCCAGCTTTGTCTTTACCATTACCATTCATATTTCAGCTCGAATAAGATATATTTAGTACCTAAGAAATTTCAAGTCAATATTTCAGAACCAGTTTAAGTTTTTCTATTTCAGAACAACCTACATCTTTATGCTTCACAGTACTTCCAAATAATTTACATCCATATGCTATGCAATTTTAACGTTATATGACGTCTTTATATTTTTCTATATTAACCAAATTTCCTAAAATTATATAACTGTTTTTTAATATTATGATTATTCTTTGAATATAGCATAATATAAAATTTTAATAGTTCTTATCGAGTATACATATTAACAATTTTTTACAATTGGAATATCTTTTGCTTTACGAGACATTTTAATAATCAAAATCGTAAAAACAACCTTATAGTTCTTATTGAGTATACATATTAACAATTTTTTACAATTGGAATATCTTTTGCTTTACGAGACATTTTAATAATCAAAATCGTAAAAACAACCTTGTAAAGGTTGTTCAATTTAAAACTTGTAAAGGTAGTTTCAATTTTCAAACAACCTTTACAAGGTTGTTTTTACAATTTTAATTGTCACATTAGCATGTTTCTCTTCTAGTCCCATTTTAATAAGAGAAAAAACACACTTATATAAAAGTTTACCTTTAATTTATTAATGGATCAAAAAGCACACCAAATACACATAAGGTAAACAAAATACCAGTAGTAAATGCCCAATGTCTTACACCTATTTTGAATTTTAATTCTTGTTCCAACTCTTCCCCAGAAAGCATTCCTAATAAATCTAAATATAATCAAACTATATATTACTCTTACTTATTGCTAAGGCAATTATTTAATTTTTTGTCAATTCCTACATCAGCTGTGTGTGCATATATTATTTTTGTTACAAGAGTTCATACATTTGGTACTTGTCAACCACTAGTGGAAATTTCGCAACATCACCAATCATCACTGTGGAATTATAATAGTATATATATATGTCTCAAGGGCTATCTGCCTAAGAGAAGGAATGCCTTTGTGGTGGACTTTCTAAGGGAAATTGGCTTGTATATATGCTACACATGGGATAACCATGAAAATGGCCATGCAGGCAGCCCATTCACGGGATTTGAACACTGGACAAAATTACCAGTATTCTGAGGCTTTATCACTTGGCCACTAGTGGGCTGTGAAATTCTAAAAAACACTGTCATCCATAATTGGAGCTAAATTAGCTCCTTAGAATCTCTTTTGGTTAATGATCAAAATTTAATGATAAGTCCAGCAAACTGGTTTGAACAACTCGATATTTGGGTTTTTATTAGTGTTTTCATTTCAAACTATTATTTGACCATATTTAATTTTTTCTCTTAAACTGAACATGCAAATATAATTTTTAACAATATGAATAATATTTACTATTTAATTCTGCAATATGAGAAAAATGCCACTAGTGGGCTGTGGAATTCTAAAGGGCACTGTCATCCAAAATTGGTGCTAAATTAGCTCCTTAGCATCTCTTGGTTGATGATCAAAATCTAATAATGATTTTCACTGTAAAAAATGGTGAAAAGTAAGAATATCATTCCCAAAATTTAAATTTATGATAATCAAAAATTAAGTCCGCAAACAAACTGGTTTGAACTTTACAACTTTGATCAATTATTTGGGTTTTTATTGGTGTTTTCATTTCAAACTATTATTTTGACCATATTTAATTTTTTCTCCTAAATTGAACAGACAAATATAATTTTTAACAATATGAACAATACTATTTAATTCTGCAATATGAGAAAAATGCATGTTCAAAAATCATTTTTTAACACAGCATTTTATCACGAGCATATTGATAAAAAGTATACAGAAACAATTATACCACTGAAAAATGTAACTACACTAACCTGATACAATGAACCCATTGTCGCACTGGTTGGAGGAATGCTGTTATTCACAAAGAAAAACAAAGCATCTTCAGGTCGCAGGTGAATCCTCTTTCGGATAAGAAAGTAAAACTGACCAACTGTTAGATCTGATGGTACCAGATACTTCTTTTTATCAAGATCTCCAATATGTGCCTTTGGAGCTTTTTCTACTATAACCTATATATAATAATTATACACATTGAAATAAAACATGAATTTTCAGCTTAATGCAAAGAAAAAAAATATAAGCATATTAATTACCCTAAAAATTTATATGCATTTAGCAGCTTGAGATTAAGCAAAACATTTTTCTCTGTGGATTTTTTTTTTTTTTTTTTTTTTTTTTTAGGAAGAGGGGAGCTCTTTCTATGAATGACAGATTAACGAGATTCAACATAATACAAATGCATGAAACTTGCAACACCACATTTTCAATACCTTTTAAAAACCAACTGTGTTAACTTATTACATATTCATCCATGTGAAAAATACAACAACTACCAAGAATTTATTTTCTATAATATGCTTTCTTATTTCTGGTTTGATCAAATAAACATGCATTTCTTCCAACTCTTATATATTAATCTTGGATACACATGCATATCTACAAAATACTTCTTTTCAGATGGCAGATATTTTTTAAAAAACATGTTTTTTCACAAGTTTACTGCCCCAGCCAATGACGTGAACCCTTAACCATCACATGACATGGCTCCATATTTTAACTTAGTTTTCTACGCTTATATTGCAAATTTTGTATATACTTATATTTAACCAAGATTCAACTTTGGAACTTCTATCTGAAGGACTGTTTTATTTTTGATTGTCATCATTGCAGCTATTAATGAATATTTGTATCTGATTTGTATTTTACACCACCCCACAATGTAACACTGTGCACACAATGTGCCACATCTTCTCTTATTATCACATCTTGTCTCTGCAACACCTTTATTTTATGTACTTCCAGGAACCCATATTGGGTAACAACTGGCAAAAAGCCTGCAATCCACGCAGGCTGAGTCCAGTATAACAGTGGAAAATGGTAATGCAGAGTATATGAATTTGACTATATGCAACAGCCATATGAATAAGGATTTTTGCTAAACATCTATTTACTTACTAAATATAAGTAATTATCCAGATTCTTGATAATCCAAATAAAATTAAACTGATCATTATATATATATATATATATTACTTTTAAATTTCAATCAGTGTTGGCCAACTTCTGCAAATATGCGGAGCAATTCAGAATATGCACTAACTGTGATGGCCATACAATTCAAGTTTTCTAAAAAAATAGTTTTTCCTTTCCAGAAACTATAAATTTAGCAATATTAACCATTTATAGTTTTATAGTTAAAAAATACCGACTTTACACAAATTTATTATAGTAAAGATTTAAATTCATTAGAATAAGGCAAAGGACACTAAGTTTATCTGTCTTAACAGGAAGATGCTGTAATGGAAGAGTTTTTAGCAAATAAAAAGGACTATACAGGGGTTGGACAAAAATATGGAAACACCTTTAAAAAAACATGTTTCTTTGCTTAATATGGTGTAGGAAACCCGTTGGCTTCCAAAACAGCTTGCATTCTTCTTGGAATGGAGAAATACAGTTCTTGTATGTTTGCCAAGGGAATATTATACCATTCTTCCTGCAAAACGGTGGCAAGTTCAGATAACGATGTTGGCGGTGGATAACGAGAACGCACTTTCCGTTCCAATGTAGACCACAAAGGTTCGATAATATTCAGGTCTGGTGACTGTGGTGGCCAGGGGAGATGGGACAACTCATCCTCGTGCTCAGAAAACCAGTCCTGGACAATGCGAGCTGTGTGAACAGGGGCTTTGTCGTCTTGGAAGACACCATCACCATCGGGAAACAAAGTTTATACCATGGGATGAACTTGATCGGCCAAAATGTTCACATAAGTCTAGGCAGTCATGTGCCCTGACACAGTTATCATGCGGCTAGCAGAGAACCATGATATGGCTGCCCAAACCATAACAGAACCCCTGCCATGTTTCACTCTTGGCAACGAGCAGTCTGTATTATAGGCTTGAGATGGCGTTCTCCAGACGTAAACTCGGCCAGAAGTGGGGAAACAATGTGAAAGAAGACTCGTCAGACCATATTACTCGCTTCCACTGTTCTATAGTCCAGGCTTTATGACTTTCCACCTTTTCCTGTTACGGGCATTACCATCACTGATGAGTGGCTTCTCAATTGCAGCACGGCCAGCAATTCCCTGTTTATGAAGATCCCTTCTAATTGTTTTGGTACTCACAGGGTTCGGTTACACAATATTCATTTCAGCAGTAACTTTTGCAGCTGTGGTCTTCTTATTTTTCGTCACAATTGCCCTTAATGATCGTCTGTCACGATCACTCAGGACACACTTTCATCCACGCTGTGATTTAGCAGATGATGTTTTTCCGCTTTTCAAATATGCGGAAACCAATCTTCGATACAGTACCTCTTGAAACACTAAACACCTCGGCTACCTTGCTTACGGAAGCACCTACCATACGTGCTCCAACAATTTGCCCACGTTCGAAGTCTGTTAACTCTGACATAATGCAAGGACAACCTCACATAACAGTACTCCGACAACAACTGAACTGTTTAGCACATTTACGAAGTTGTATGGGTGGCGTCAGTAGTCAAAAACGCCAGCGCCACCTACATATTTCATTAAAATCAATCTTTCTTTTCAAACATGCATTTCACAAGGTGTTTCCATATTTTTGTCCATACACTGTATATTAATGGATTAAATATTAAAAACAATGTAAAATGAGATATTTTTATAAAAGCTTTTTCATGCAGAATTTAAATACTTACATTTTAGTAATAATATTTATAAAAACTCAAAACAATGTTTTTTCACTTGTTCTCAGTTTTTGTAATAAGCTAGAGGTAGAATGTTCCTTCTGCCTCAGTGGAACTAGATTTATGAAAATTACTAAATGCATAACATTCAAATTCCTTCCTCAGTAATTTTAAATAGTTCACCTTAACCCTTAATAGTAACCTTAAAAGTTCTTTCTTACCAAACCCAAGCAACATTTCAGATTTGGAGTAAAAGTTGAAGACTATCCAGACATTGCTTTTGATTAAATAGAGAGTTTTAAATTTTCTTTCATCATGGAGTATGGTGATCATTTATCTTCTTGATCATCTTTATTTACAGAATGGCAATGAATGAATCAAGTCCAATAAGTTACCTCCTTGAAAGATTCAGTGCGATTTTGGTAAAGGTGGAAATCCAAGTTGGTACTGTTCTGTTACGAACTGGATTCAGAAATATATGTATGGATGTATGTGTATATATGTGCGTATGAATATATGCGTGTATATACACATATACATACAAACATTTCTGTATTCAGACAACAGAACAGTACCGAAAATTTAATATAATTTCCACAAGTATTTTTCCATTAAAAATTAATCAATTTTAAAATCCCTTAACTGAAATAATACAAAATTTCATCACATAAGTATCTGCTTTACAAGTTCATAGTTATGAACAATACAAATGTTGCAGCAGTTAAGCGATGAAAGACTGTGTTGATAGCCATGTTTAAAAAATTGAAAAAATTAAAAAAATTGAAAGGCAGATCATGTGTAAATAATTAATTCCCTGCTTTACAAACATTCACTTTTATAATCCTTAGCATCTCTTTTGGTTAACGACCAAAATCTAAATAATTTTCATTGTAAAGAATGGTGAAAAGTAAGAATATGGTTCATTATTTATTTTATGTAATGACTACACAAAAGTCCAGCTATTAATTGTAATACGTGAATTTAAGGCAACTGTGAAAAAACGAAGGGATGCTAGTCTTAGCAGACAAATTTATCAGATCTTATTACAAGCCTTTCCAATCAGTAAAAACGCACAAAAAAAAGGTCAATTTCTGGCACTAGGACAGGCAAGCATCAAAACTGGAAATGCTGTTATACAGTCAAAAGTCGTTAATTCGGACCTCAAAGCTAAAAACTTTCTGCGCATGCGCCGCGTTGACACATGCGCATAGGCGTTTACGTGTGCGCGTAAGACTTTACGACTGTGCATATGTGTGTGCGGAAGCGCAGAATACGTTTTCACGTGCGCGTTTTATGTATAACCAACGGTATAAGCTATTTCAATTAATGTTGATGATTGCGTTGTTCCTTAATCTTTGAATTGGATTTGGCTTATTATTTTTTTTCAGACTTTTACAGCAATTTTATAAAAGTAAACTTGAACTTTCAATTATGTCAAATAGAATTTCCGATGCTGGAGCTCCCAAAGGATCTACAAAACGAAAGTATGTTTTGATGTCCATCAAATAAAAAGTGGAATTGCTGCAAAAAATGCATAAAGACATGAAGAAGGTGACAGAGTTTAGTGAAAACGAAAAAATTTCGATTGACAAGTTAGTCGGTATTCTCGGCACAGCAATTATGGGACTTGAACAGCAGAACTTTGTAACTGAACAAGAAATTATGTCTGTTTATAGAATTAAAGAGAAAGTATTATCACATAAAACGAAGCAACTTAAACAACTTACATTGAAAGAAATGTTTAATAAAATAAACAAATAAATATTAAGCTTTTTTTTTTGTAAATTTTGATACCCTTTAGATCATAATTGTTCTTTATTTCATAAATTACGGTTTCATATTTTTAATTTTAGAATTTCTGCATGCCATCTTACGAGATTTAAACTGATGATCTATAATCCGGAATCGCCGAAGTCCCGACGAGTCTGGATTAACGACTTTTGACTGTATAATGCATATAAAAGCTGATAACAGATTATCCTCTCTCTCCAATTTGGCAGATCCTATATTTTTTGTTATAGAATCTCGGAAATCTCAATGCAGGATCGTTCATCCCAATTTTCAAAGTATGCTCTTTTCAATTTTGAAAGTTACATTCATTATAAAGCATATAAATTGATCATATTTTTTTTTATTGCCAATCTGCGTTTTAGAGATATTTCAATATGATTCAATTGGTTTCCAGAAGCCATGGGAATATTCAAATCCTTTTCCCTTATAAATTCATGGTAAGGTATTTCATTCATGGTACTTCATTCATAATTCACTACCACACATTATTTCAGCTTGTGAAAAAAATTTCACAGGAATACTCTTTTTTTTTTCATAAATTGGGAAAAATCTGTAACTTGTTCCAAATTAAAAGAAGTCATAAGACAAGTAATGATATAATTTCAAGCAATTTATTTCAGAAAAATGAAGCAGCTGAAAAATAATCAAGACATGACAGATCTCTGGAATGGGTAATCCCCAGGTGAAGAAACTTTATAGTACACAATTTGCTCAGTCAGTATTCTGAAACATCTCAAAATAATAACGCTTGTTACAGACGACTGCTTATAAGAAGCTGTTAATTTAATGATTGTGTACGATATGGCAGGTATGCTGTAGCCTTATTCATTTTTTTATGAGAATAAGGAAAAAAGGTACAAAAGAAATTTTTCCCATAGAAAATTAACATATCTTCGAATATTTTGAAACATGATTTTAAAAAAAGGGGATTTTACAAATAAAATTAATTTTAATAATATCACTACCGTAGCTTTTTTTCTTGCTTTTTCTCAAATGTAATTAGGAAACTGCGACTTAATAACATTTATTATCTTGCTGAAATTTCAGAACCAAGATATTCAGTAAATGCCAAAATGAAAGAAAGGACATCTTAAAACACAACAAAAGAGTGTAAAAATTTTTATTTTTCTCTCTCTATATATATTGTTAATGTTATTTTGGCTTTGTGTAGTGGTGATCGGCACTACACAAGCCAAAGAATTGCACAATCTTGGTATCCATGTACCACCAAAACTCGCCAAGGGGTACCCATAAATATATTTTTACCAAAGTGCCAAACATAACGCACCAAATAAGTGGGCGATTCTGCACTTCACCCGTAACTTTATTACATTTCTTTACGCATGAGAAACATGTCCATTAAAATTACAAAAATGTCATGTTTTTCACCACTTTCTTTACATATATATATATATAGATATATAAAACTTTACTTTCACCATAACATTTCTCCTGCATTTAATGTTTTTTTATTCAAAACTGTATTGTGGATTATTCCCATTTTTTTAATACTGAAGTATTTTAATATGAAGAAATTTACCTTCCATGAAACAGTTCTTTCACACAGAAAAATTACAGATATATTCATTTTGCTAAATGTACTTAGCCATGCAGTTTAGGTAGACTTGCTGTTTATTTTAAAAGAAATAAAGATCATACAAATGATGTGGTTATAAAATCAGTTTAACAGCTTAAGCATTCAACTGTTATTTAATCTTCAATAAAGAGGTGCATTTCTTCTAAAACACAGTTATAATTATTGTTCAAATTACATCTATAGCTTAAAATACCTTTACGTAAAATGAGACCTACATTACATAACAAACACTTAAAAAGTCGCATTAAAACTTCGAAAATATTTATTTATAAAATCGGTAATTCCTGGTAGAGCTGTTCTGAGCGTCTTAATTTAATTTACAATGTTTCTTAAATTATCACACATTTTACGTCAATACTGTACACATATATATATTAAGTACACGTGCACCCACGGTAAAAATTACGATATTCCTGAAAATTCTGCGTTTTAATAACAATAATTCAGTGCTTGTTTGCGCGCTGATTTCACACACACACACACACACAAAAAAAAAAAAAAAAAAAAAAAAAATCAATGTATTTCAGGAAACAACTGACGCAATTTTCTTTCAGGTAGGTCTTAACCTTCGTCGCACTTCGCATACAATAAGCTAAGGTATGAAACGATGTGTTTTGCTAATTTTGTTACAAAAATGAATTTTACCAATAATTAAAAGTTCTACGCTGACACTTACCTTCTTAGAGTAATTTACGGTACAGTATTTATCGATAATACGAAACCTAATGATTTAAATTATGTCCATAAATGATGTTTCACAAACGCCTATAAAGCACATAAGAGTTTTAGAATACACATTGAATATTAACAAAAGTGAAATGTAAATTAATTCAAACATTCCGAACTAATATTTGCAAAATGAAATACATTTTGAAGTATAGTCCATCCGTTAATATTTGTAGAATTAATATAATTATCATTGAAAGTTATTAATTTCATTTCTAGATGGCTAAGATATTTAACATTTATGTCGTTTACACGAAAGAAATATAATATAATGGAGTGCACTTACATACGTCGCATGTTTTCCCAATACCAAATTTAAGAAAATTAACTGCTAAAAAATTTAAAAAACTGTCATTAACAAACTTACGGGAACTCTGTCTGGGTACTTCCTCCTTATCTTTTCGCCTTCAGCTCTTCTTTTCTCAAAAGGATGCTCTTCTTTGTACAAAAATTTCATGTTTACTTTTCAAAGATGAAAAAGTGTTAGAGGTAATCTGGCAAATCAAAGTTATATCGAATACAATGCTAGACAAAGCTTCTCAGTACAGCTTCCTCAGTCAAAAATCCAGACCAGATGACCTACGCTAAAATGAGACAAAAATGAGTTCGTATGTTACTTAACTTTACATTTAATTTAGAAACCAAAAATTATCAATCGTCCCTGAATTTACACATAAGAATGTAATTTTTCAAACAATCAATTCTCGTGACTACACCAATATAATATTAACAGCAGATACAAAGTATTGCGTAAATTGGCGTAAACTTACAGTATTTAATGGCGCGTCACGTTCATGTGACCATTAATACTTACTAAAATATATAAATGGAAGTACCAAATTATGTGATTATTCCTGATACTTAATAAGAGTACTGTCCAATTTATTTTTCCAACGTGGAAAGTTTATATGACGAATGCAATTTTATTTTTCAGAATGTGATTTTACTTTTTATTACGTAATACATTAATATGAATGGAATAATTTCATTGATTTTATTCTTGACGTAGAGTTGTTAGTTATTATGGCTGAAAATTTTTAAGGAGGAAAAGAGGAATTAAATTTTGTCCTTACTTTTAAAATAAAATTTAACGTGAAATAATTATAGATAAGAAGAAATGTTTGTAAACAAATACGGATACTTAGTTTTGATCTGTAACACTGTAACCTTAACGAGCAATGTTTACGTTTAGTGATTTTTTTAACGTAATTGAAAATCTTCTAATTCAGAGGTTGGAAAGATGGTTTTCCTGTCTGCTATAAATTTTATAAGGAAGTCTGGCTATGATAATACATTCAAACGTCAGAAGGTTTTGCGGTTGACTGCGGTAAATTGAAGATTCTACTCTAATTTTTTAAATTAAAAAATGTGATTTATTTAAGGAACTTCATTATAACTAATAATAATCTTTAAGAATTATTTGATAAATTGTATGTTGCAAATGCTCAATGTTTAACATCAATGCCGTTTCTTGAAAAATTAAAGAGATTCATGAGTGTGATCCAAATATGTTTTCACGGGTGTGCTATTCAGTTAATTGCTTTTCACTCTATTTGATGAATTCAAGTAAGCAGAATTTCAGTAAGAGAATGGACAGTGCATTTGAAGGACTAAATTAAAAAAGGTCTTGAATCTGCATAATTTCCTTTTAGATATATGAATTACATCATATTTAACATTATAATATCCTTAATAATTAAAATATAATATGTTATAATATAATACATTATAATATAATATAATATGTTAACAATGAAATATTGTCGTCTTCTTAACGCCGTAAATCTAAAATTAATTTCAAAAACAATTTCGTTGACTAGAATATTCTGAAAATATTTAATTTTTGAACATGCATGCAGATTTTATTCAATGATACAATTCAGTGTTACAATTTGAATAGTTTTTCATGCACTAAAATAGTTTAAATATTTAAATTTAATTTCACGTATTATATATGAAATTTGTGAAATGATTTATCATTAGAATTTTGAATGACTAGTGTACATTTTTTTTTTAAGCTAAGGCAAGAAATCCACATTTTGATAGCTTAATAGTTGTAGTCTTTTTTCAGTGTGAAATTTGGTTGAGTGTGGTACTTATAAATTATTAGTTCCCACTGATATATTGCTGCATATACAACCTTCCCCCCACGTGCCACGGCACGCAATGAATTGGATCTGTCAGCACTATCCTTATCTTCAGGGCAGATGTTTTTATTTTATTTCGCTTATAATTCCTTACTAAATGTAGTATTTCATCTCGATGTACTCCGTCTTTGATATGATTTAAATCAAATTCCTCGTCATTATGATTTGCTTCCCATAGTGAAGAAAGTGACACAGAGGTTATTGAAAACGGAAAAATTTCGATTGACAAATTAGTCGGTATTCTCGACACAGCAATTATAGGACTTGAACAGCCGAACTTTGTAACTGAAGAAGAAATTATGTCTGTTAATAGAATTAAAGAGAAAGTATTATCACATAAAACGAAGCAACTTAAACAAATAAGAAATGTTTAATAAAATAAACAAATAAATATTAAACTTTTTTTTTGTAAGTTTTGGTACCCTTTAGATCATAATTGTTCTTTATTCAGGGGTGTTTATGCTCTGGGGAAACCCCAGAATTCCGGGGATTTTGAACTTCGATACCCGGAAATTTCGGGGATCGTCGTTCAAAAGGAAGTAGGAATAATAATGAATTATTTATTTTGATCTGGGTAAGTTTGTTTGCTTTGAAAGCAGAAAATGCAAGGTCAGTGTGTGTGGTGAAAACTTTTCCTTTCTTTCTCCAAAGGCAGTGATAATGCGTGAAAAGGTGGAAAAAACTTCTTTTTTGTTCTTTCCTTATTGCGAGTTATGACTCATTCCCCCGGTTCTCGGACATTCTCTTCTGGATTCTTTTCGGCAAGTAGGCGCGGCAGAAAAAAAAAAGGGAGAGACTTTGTTCGACCAGATGTGCGATCACGTGACTCTGGGTTCAAAGGTCTTATCTCTCCTGGCGTGGCGCCAATAAGTAGAGAAGGGGGATTTTTCGCCATATTAGCTATTTGTCATTGATCGCTTCCAACTTTTTTTTCTCCGCTGTGTAAAATTTTCGTTTCATTTATTGATGCATGTGTAAATTTTTCGTTTTGTTTATTGAAATATTTTTTTATTTATGTACGCAAGAGAATTTCACTATGAAATTTCTCGATATAAATAGTGATATTATACAATTAGAAGAAGGTGTCCGGAATGCATTTAGGTGGAATTGGATTGAACGGAGAGATGGTAATGGGGATACCATCGGCACATGGTGCAAGATAATAAATGTTGCTGGACAAGCATATTGTTTTTTTGTAACTCACTGCTGAAGTATGGTGGGGAAGGATTCAAGGCTTTCACAAATCATTCTAAAACTGTGATGCACATAAAATATTCAAAGTGCATTAGATATTCAATGACTTTAAGTAATTATGCTAATTCAAAAAATACTGATGACTTACTGGAGACTGATGCTCGGCCATTGGATATAGTGGCAAGAAAAGCACGCCAAGAGGTATTAATAACTTCGTTTATCGCCGAGAATTCTCTTTCTTTCAATGTAGCTCCCAATTTAATTGAACTCTGCAAAGAGTTGAGCCGCGATCAGACGGCACTAAACTCGTTGGAAATGTCCAGGACTACTGCATGTTATAAGATGAAATATGGGCTCGCAAAAACTAGGAAAATAACATTAAAACTTTAAAGGAGACTCCATTTTCTCTAAATTTGGATGAAAGTACTGGCAATGCTCAAGAAAGTATACTGGCAATATTGGTACAGTTTTATGACAACAATCAAAATGAAGTTGTAGTTCATCATTTCGCATCTCTAAAGATGGAATCTTGCAATTCAGAAGCTGTTTTTAAAGCAGTTGTTAATACTATTGAAGATAATGATATTCCATGGGCAAACTTAATTAGTGTATTAATGGACTCATGTAATACCATGCGTGGAAAAAAAAAGGGTGTTGAAACCAGACTACGATCAAACAAAGCACCCCACTTATTAAATATTGATGGTGACACATGTCACACATCTAATAACTGTGCAAAAAAATTTGCTTAATGTTTTGATAGATACTTAGAATATTTGTTTGATGACATCTATTTTGATATGAAAAGCTGCAGTAAAAGAGAAAATTTTTTCAAAATCTGTGAATCCCTTGCCATTAAAAAATGTAAGCCCTTGAAGAGACCAGACCATAGGTGGGTGTACATTTTATGTGTTTTAAAAAGAATCAAAGATATGTGGGATGCTCTTATTGCATGTTATTTTCACTACTTGGATAAAACTGATAAAGGGGATTATTTTTCTTATGTTGAAACTGTATACAATAAAAGAAATATTTCTGCAGCTCAAAAAAAAAAAATTGTTGAAGGGGTGTATTCTTGCTTGCATTCCCAACAACTCACAAAGGATGCTTTAGCTCAGAAAAAACGAATACTAAATGGGTTATTTGTTATGCAAAACAAAACTTTATTGCATATGGCATTATATTCAGCAGTATTACCAGAGTTCAACACATATATTAAATTATTTGAAACAAAAAAAAAAAACAAAAAAAAAAAAAAAAAAAAAAAAAAAAACCAATGCTTCATTTAATACATTCCAGTATTTATAAATTGATGGCAAAATTTTTCTCTTTTTTTATGAAGCCAGAAAATATAGAGTGCACATCTTATAATGATTTATTAAAGGTTGATGTCACAAATCCAGAATTCCATCTACCTAGCAAAGTAATATTTACTGGTGCAGAAGCTTCCACTTTCTCCAAGAAATTATCAAAAAATCATCCAATAGTAAAAGAATTCCAAATTTCTCTGATGAAAGCTTATACTAATACAGCACAGCATATGAAACAGAAATTACCCCTTAAAAATTCATATCTAATTAGTTTTACAGCATTAGATCCAGAGCTAAGAGGTAAAACCAGTACAATATTAGCTTTTGAAAAATTATCATCTTTTATGTCCCATATTTTTAGTGATAATGAAAAGTCAAAAGTAGAAGCTGAAATAAGGTTATACCAGAGTGATACTGATATCACCAAAGAAATGCTCCACACATCTGATGAAAGTGGAAATCAAGTCAAGTGTACAATTGATAAATATTGGTCTAAAGTTTTTAATTTAAAAGATGATTTCACAAATGATTATAAGTATCCTACATTGGCTAAATTGGTCAAAGCCTGCCTTAGCTGCTTCCATGGCCCATTAGTGGAAAGTGCATTCAACTTAATGGATACACTATAGAACCTCTCTTAAGATTGATTCCCTAGATGCAGTGCAGACTATTAAATATGATTTAATGGCTTCTAAAAAAACCTCATGTGAAAAATATGGCTCAAAAAATCCAATCACTGATCCAATTCACAAAGATCTCTTACTGAATATGAACAGACATTGGAAAACATATCAAGAAGACTTAAAAACATGTATTTCAGATGAGTCACCTATAAAAGTCTCTGAAAAACCTTCTACATTAGCAGAAAAGCAAACTGCTTCTACCTCTGCATGTGCAGTACTCGAGGAAATTTCTTCAACTGTAAATGAGGAAAATAAAAGTCAACCTTCTTGCAATTATAAAGTTCACCACAAAAGAAAGACAAGCCCACAAACATCAGAAAATAAAAAAAAAGCAGCAGAAATTAGATAATTTTTTTTTTAAAGAATTAATTCAGGTAATTTAAAATATTTACATAAAATGTAGTAGTTTATATGTTTGAAAATTTATGGTTATTATTTTGAAAAAAAGTAATTCATTGAACTTTTATAATTAGGTCATTCAATACTTCATAATTGTAATTTTTCATTCTCTCCCCCCCCCCCTTCTCGAAACTCCAAAATGTCGGTAGTAAGTCCGTAAAAGTTTCGGGATTTTTTGGGGTCCCACAAACACCCCTGTTTATTTCATAAATTATGGTTTCATATTTTTAATTTTATAATTTCTGCATGCCATCTTACCAGATATAAACTGATGATCTATAATCCGGAAAAATGGATAATCTGGAATCGCCGAAGTCCTGATGAGTCCAGATTAACGACTTTTGACTGTACTAGCCACTTTCTGGAAGACTTCTTAGCATGAAATTATACTTTAATAGCTAACTTCACTGTGAATTTTATTCATCATTTTACTCAAACATTTAGATATTAAACCTTTCAAAGTAATAAAAAGTCCAAAATCTGGATATATCAATAAAACACCTTCATATTAACCCTCTGAGCATTATGACCGGCTTTATCCAGTCATCAGAAGTTTTGCAACTTGGCATATATTAGCTTATAATTTAAGATATT